CATCCTCATCCTCATCCTCATCATCATCATCATCATCATCATCATCATCATCATAATCATCATCATCATCATCACCTGCATCATCAGCAACATCATCATCATCCTCATCAGCATCATCATCTGCATCATCATCATCAGCATCATCATCCACATCATCCTCATCATCATCATCATCATCATCATCATCATCATCATCATCATCCACATCATCCTCATCCTCATCAACACCATCCTCATCCTCATCCCCATCCTCATCATCATCCTCACCCTTCTCGTCATCGTCCTTAGCCATTTTGGCTCAGTATGGTGCGATCGCGGGCAAGGAAGCGGTCCCCGTGTCTGGCCTTCGCCGACGTTCCACCTTCTCGTTCAGAGCGGCCCTCGAGGCCACAGCAGTTTCACATCGCGTCCCTCGGACCCGATCGAGCTGGCATCTGGGGGCCCAGGATCGCGCGCGCGGGCTCGACCAGTGGGCAGGGCGGGGCGAGGCGGCAAGGGGCAGGCCAAGATCGGCAACGTTGCCAGCGGCTGCACCTGGGATTGCCCGAAGTGCGAGGCCACGCAGAACAGGTCGTCCCGAAACAGCTGCCGAGAGTGCGGATACAACTGGTGGCAGGGCTCGCAGTCACAGGTCTCGGGCAGGTCGTGGTGGAGCGGACTGTCAGGCCTCGACGACGAGGGAAGGCACGGACTCAATCAGCTGCGCAGGCGGGTCAAAACGCTGGAGTCCGAGAAGGGCACCAGAGGAGCTGGCACAAACGACAAGGACAAGGGCGACGAGCTGGGCACCGACGGCGGCGCCAACCAGGAGCAGATCAGAAGCTGCGCAAGCTGCGCTCGGAGGTCAAGACGCCGGATAGCGTCACGGGAGTCGAGGGCATTCTCGACGCCAAGCAAGCCTGGGCCAAAGCTTGGCAGGCCCACATCGTGAAGCATCGTCCATTCTCGCGGGCAACTGCCGACGCACTCGCGAAGCAGCTCGAGAGCTTGGCAGCAGAGTCCACGAAGCTGGAGGGCGAGCGGCACGAGGTGCTGGCCAAGCACGACCCCTCCCAACTTACTGAAAAGGAGATCCAGAAGCTGCTCGACGACCTCCTGGCTGCCCGCGCCCAGGAGGAAGCGCGTGGAGAGGCAAAAGCCCACGAAGGAGCTGCCGGCGCCGCGGCGTCGGCAGCAACCCCAGCAGGCAGCGCAGCGGCAGGCGCCCCACGTGCTGGACATGACGCTGCAGCAGTACCAGCATGACAGCCTGGAGAGCGACCTCGAAACATGCTGCCTCTGGAATGCTGCCACCAGGCTTCCGTGAGCAATGGGAGCAGCAGGTCACACCGATGCGGGCAGTGGCGGCGGAGATGTCCAGGCCTCGTGACGGATGGACTGGCAGCAAGGCCTCAGAGGTCGCGTTCGACCAGAGCGCGGTCGATGCACTCTTCGACTCCACCATGGAAGACGCCGACGCCGAGGGAGCCAGGGGCCGAGGAGGAGGAGGAAGAGGAGGAGGGGCGCAGTCACGGCGCAGCCGCTGCTGGGCAGTCCGCGGCGCTGACTGACCCTGTTGCTCGCCGCAAAGCTCAGCGGTGTCGGCTACTCGACGGCCCACGCACGATTGCATCGGCCAGGCACAGAAGTAAGCGTTCCTAGGACCTTCGCCCTGGTCAGCCTCCACAGCAGCGGATGTGAGCCAACCGCCTCAATCTTGGCGGCGCCGCTGGAAAGGGGGAACACCGACACGTTCGAGGCGCACCTGGCCGGCGTACACCTGCTGCAGGAACACCACCTGGGCCCGCAGCGCATGGTGGAGCAGGAGCAGTGGTGCCACCAGGTCGGGCTGCACGCAGTCCTCACCCCAGGCGCCATGGCCTCAGATGCAGCTCAGCACCGTGCAGCCAGTGGAGGCACAGGCGCGGAGGTCCAGAGTTGGAGTGGCATGAGAGGACCAGGGCTTGACGGGGCGCAGTCGTGGTACCACTTCTCCAAGAGCCGCGCCACCCTCGCGCGCGTCGCCGGCCTCATCCCTGGCGGCATCTACCTGGACAGCGATGCGCCAGGGGCTACCAGTATGAGCGCGCTGCAGGACGTCGGCATGATGTTGCACAACGCTGGCAAGCCATGGATCCTGGGGGGGCGACTGAGAAGTCGACCCCAACAACTCCCTGACTGTCGCTGGACTCTGGAGGATGTCAGCACGCGACGGACACGGGCACGTGTCAGCACGCGATAGACAAAGAGGCCTCAGAGCTGGACTGGTTCCCGATCGACCGCAACATCGCCAACAGGATAGTAGGCTGCGAGGCAGTCGACATGACCAAGCAAGGCATGGCGAGCCCGTGCAGGCCACACTCGGGCGTGAAACTGGTGACGATAAGGGGGCAGTGCTGAGCCACGGTCCTTCCGACTCCAAGACTAGAGGGAAAAGAACTATGCACATGCACCGATTCTGGCCAGGCCCATCCTGAGCCCAGGATCGGTGCATACGCCCTCCTACCTTGGCCAGGAAGGCATATGCACCGATCCTGGGTCAAAAATGGGCCTTGCCAGGATCGGTGCATGTGCATAGTTCTCTTCGCCCAAAAGACCACGCCCCCTCTCCTGAGAAACTTCCGCTCGGGCCGCTGCTCGAGGCGCCCCGGGCCTGCGCCGGCCGGGCCACCAGCATCGGCACCGCGTCGGGCACGTCTGGGGTGGAGCGCCAGTGTGGCCAGCTCTGCAGCTCCACTGAGGCTGCACTGGTCTGGGTACAGGGCAGTGTTTTATACATAGGATGTTTTAAGCTATAGGATTTTCAATGCAGGATTAATCCAGGAATAAATCTATGCATGAACTCATCGTTGTTTTCAATACTAAATCCCTGCATTTTTAATACATGATCCGCACGCGGAGCATGTATTAAAAACGGCACTGTAAGCCAGGTGCCGCCCGACGGGGAGCGGCGCCTCCGCGGGAGCGGCCGGGCGCCCAGACTCGCGCGGCTCTCGGCGGCCTGGCCAAGGCCCGCCGCGGGCCCAAGCCCAGGAAACGCCTCATGGCGGTCGGCGGACTCTCCAGGCAGATGCGCTCCTCCTGCGGGCCCTTCGGGACCGTCGACAAGGCCACAGGCCGCGCGCGCAGGGATGACGATCGCACGGAGAGGCGCGCGATAGCTCGCCCCGCGAGACACCGGGGCGGCGGGCGAGGAGTTGGATTCGCAACCCGCCCAACCCACAGACGGAGTGCTGACAGCCAGGGTTGGCTCGACATGCGCGTGCCCTGCGACTTCCGCCCCTTGGGACTCCCCGCCGTAGTGGCGACGGGGACCACGTCCAATTTCAACCTCCGACTTCGCGAGGCAAGTGAGGTCAACGAAGCGGGATGGAAGCGAGGCGCTCCGGGTCGGGTCGGGATCATCCACATCCTGAAAGGGCTGCACGGCATCGACCATGACTACTTGGAGGAGGAGGTGCACCGCGCGGCGGGGGGACTGATTGCCTGGGGGGCTGCGGGTTGCTCGGCGACGGCTATGGCCCCCGACCCGCGCCCCCTGGCACGGGCGGAGCAGCCGGCGGGCGCTCAAGGCATGCAGCGGCATGACCTGCGCTTCTCCAGCTGGAATTCGACGCGGGGGGCGCGGGCTTAACGGCATACGCGCGGTCCTCCTCCTCCTCCTCCTCCTCCTCCTCCTCCTCCTCCTCCTCCTCCTGCTCAGCCTCGGCATCGGCATCCTCCTCCTCGAGCGTCGCTAGCCGCATGGGTCCACCTCCAGGATCAGCTCGAACTGGTTGTCCTTTCTTCCTCCTCCTCCTCCTCCTCCTCCTCCTCCTCCTCCTCCTCCTCCTCCTCCTCCTCCTCCTCCTCCTCCTCCTAAGCCTCGACATCCTCCTCCTCGAGCGTAGCCAGCCGCCTGGGTCCAGCCTCCAGGGTCAGCTCGAAGAAGGTTTTATTTGTCTTCCTCCTCCTCCTCCTCCTCCTCCTCCTCCTCCTCCTCCTCAGCCTCAGCCTCGGCATCCTCCTCCTCGAGCGTCGCTAGCCGCATGGGTCCAGCCTCCAGGATCAGCTCGAACTGGTTGTTATTTCTTCCTCCTCCTCCTCCTCCTCCTCCTCAGCCTCAGCATCAGCATCGGCATCCTCCTCCTCGAGCGTAGCCAGCCGCATGGGTCCAGCCTCCAGGGTGAGCTCGAGAAGGTGACTTTTTTCTTCCTCCTCCTCCTCCTCCTCCTCCTCCTCCTCCTTCTCCTCCTCCTCCTCCTCCTCCTCCTCCTCCTCCTCCTCCTCCTCCTCCGCCTCCTCCTCCGTCCGCCTCCGCCTCCCTCCTCCTCCTCCTCCCTCCTCCTCCTCCTGCTCCTCCTCCTCCTCCTCCTTTTCCTCACATCCTCCTCCTCCTCCTCCTCCTCCTCCTCCTCCTCCTCCTCCTCCTCCTCCTCCTCCTCATCCTCCTCCTCTCCTGCTCAGCCTCGGCATCGGCATCCTCCTCCTTGAGCGTCGCTTGCCGCATGGGTCCAGCCTCCAGGATCAGTTCGAACTGGTTGTCCTTTCCTCCCTCCTCCTCCTCCTCCTCCTCCTCCTCCTCCTCAGCCTCAGCCTCGGCATCCTCCTCCTCGAGCGTAGCCAGCCGCATGGGTCCCCTCCAGGTCAGCTCGAGAAAGTTGTTTTGTTTCTTCCTCCTCCTCCTCCTCCTCCTCCTCCTCCTCCTCTCCCTCCTCCTCCTCCTCCTCCTCCTCCTCCTCCTCCTCCTCCTCCTCCTCCCTCCTCCTCCTCCTCCTCCTCCTCCTCCTCCTCCTCCTCCTCCTTCTCCTCCTCCATCTCCTCCTCCTCCTCCTCCTCCTCCTCCTCCTCCTCCTCCTCCTCCTCCTCCTCCTCCTCCTCCTCCTCCTCCTCCTCCTCCTCCTCCTCCTCCTCCTCCTCCTCTTCCTCAACATCCTCCTCCTCCTCCTCCTCCTCCTCCTCCTCCTCCTCCTCCTCCTCCTCCTCCTCCTCCTCCTCGTCCTTGCGCCTTCCGTCGTGGGACCGTGGCGCAGGCCGCCGACTCACGCGTCGGCGACAACGGGCGCGGCGCCTTCGGCGGCCTCTCTTGCGGGGGGGCGGCGGCAACCCGAGGGGGCAACCCGAGAGGGGGGCGGCCGCAGCAGGAGAGGGAAAGGACGAGGAAGGGATGAGGAGGAGAACAAGGAGGACGAGGAAAGGAGGAGGAGGAGGAGAAGGAGGAGGAAGGAGAAGGAAAAGGAGAAGGAGAAGGAAGGGGGGAGGCTCACTCGTTCTCGCTCTGACCCATTCAGCGCAATCCACATTCAGTCTCAGCCTCTTGGAGCCTGGGGGAAAAACATTATACTCTAACGAACGACGTGCGCAAAGGCAGATGCAACAACACGCGATTGCCTGCACGGGGGCCGGGCCGTAGAAGTCAAACGGTCAAGCAGGAAGGGGCGGTGCCCCAACAAAAAGTGTCCACACCCACGGCGGGAAGGCGACGAAACGCGATAACAACCACAACTGCGAAACGCCCATGCTTCGCACCCCTCCCTCCCGAAACCAAAGTTGAAGCGTCCACATTTTGTCCCTGGCCTCTGGCCTACCGCCTAAATCCATCAACTTTGAATGTAGGGGAACGGGGGTATATATGCTGGTCCGACGTACCTCAATAACTCAAGGTCTGGGCGGGACACGCGTGGACACTTTTCGTCCACCCGCCGGAGAAAGCTCAGTCCTGGAAGGGAATTCAGAATCATGGCACTCGGGGCCAACATGCGACAATCACCATGGTCAGTGAATAGTCATGGCCCACCACTGCGAAACCATGCGAAACGGCGACGATACCATCCCGGAATAATGACATCGCCTACACTCGTCTGCTGGCCCAACGCCCTAGCGCTCTGAGCTGACACCAGTGTCACGGGGCGGGAGGTCCCCCTGTGCCTGAAGGAACCATACGGCCCAGCCTGCAGGACTCGCCTGAGACCCTCTGCGTTCTAATGCCTGCTTCTTATTGGCCATGAGCTCGCGCGCCACGTTGCCCCTCGGAGCCTTGCTGGCCGTCACGTTGCCTCCTGCCGCTCGAGGTAACTTTGACACGACCGCTTCGACCGTCATGATGCGCCCTCCTTCCTTGAAGAACCCTGTCGGCATCTCTACTGGGCTGTGCTGGTACAGAGCATGCTTCTCGTCTCTGACCGCGCTGAGCAGCTCCTGTGTGGTCTTCTCGTCGTCGCTCGAAGGCAGAGAACACAGCCGCCTCCTTGACCCACTGATTGAGTATGTCTGGACCTCCAGTCTTGACCATCTTCATCATGCGTATCTCTGCTGGCTTCATCTGCTGCGATCGGGCCAAATCGTCCTTGAACTGAAAATTCTCGATCACGGTGAGAGTTGCGTAGAAGCTCTGGCACGCGGGTGAGCATATATTATCTGCTGGGTCTTGCTTGCGGGCCTTGGCGTACTCCACGTATGCTTTGTTGACGTTTGCCGAGACTCGATGTTGTCTGTCGAACATGGCCGTGCTCATGGCTTCGTACTCGAGAAGTCTGACCCTGGCTTCCAGTTGCACGATGAGGTTCCTCATCGGTAGGATGCTGTGCGCGTCATCCATAATTGCGTCGTCGTTCTCGTTCCTCGGCTTCTTCTGCGTGTTTCCTGCCCCCGCGAAGCTCTTGGAGCGGTCGCGCAACAACCACGCTTTGAGCCTTCATTCGCGCGCCATGTCGCGTTGGTGCCCAACCCTCAGAGAATAACTTTGCCCAAGCAGGGGCATTGGATGGTAAAGTGGTAAGCCCAGCTTGTACATTGTCGTGCCTCACAGGAACTCTCACGAACATATCCCCTCTGCAATGATCCAGCGACAAACCAACAACGGTAAACTCCTCTGAACAAATCGGAAAAGTCACACTGCTCGGCGGACACACTTCCTTAGCATATCTCCTACATTTGCACGGACAAAATTGTTTCGTCATGCTAACGACCACATGTTTCTTCGCAACCTCCACAATCACAAAAACGCTGTCGGGCAGAGGAGGGGGGGAGAGGGAGGGGGGAGGCGGAGGAGGGGGGGAGGAAGACAAGCTTGGTGCGCTCGCACCATATCTGACATCCTACCCCTCCCACCCAGCCCGTCCCATTGCGCTGCCGTTTCTCTATCCGCGGACGCGTCCTATAGCGGACCTGGAACTCCCAAGACGACCCAATCGTGTTGTGCGCAATCGGAAACGGCGGGCTGCGTGCATGGGAGAAGGGGGAGGAAGAGGTGGCGGATGCGCAGGAGTATGAGCAGTAGGGAAGGGAAACTGGTGTGGGAGTTCCCTGGAAACTCCCCGGAGAGACCCCGAAAAGAAACCCGAGTTGGAAGGTTGTTCTAAGGTTTTCCTCCCGGATACCGGGGGGGAATTTGGGAGGTTTTGGGGTGGTTTCCGGGACCCGACACTTTAAAACAAACTGATTGCCAGAAAGAAACAAAAAAACATACACACACACACACACAAACAAACAAACAAACAAAAACAACTCAGACAAAAAAAACTCCCCCCCAAAAAAACACATAACAAAAAAACTGTGTGTTTGTTTGTGCGGCGGATTTTCGGGGGGGTCCTGGGAGCTATCGGGCAAACCCCTTCAAATCGCAATTCTGGCTAAACCCCCCAGGAACCCCCCAACTCAGGTTTTGTTATGTTTTTGTCATGGGATTTGTCGCATTTGTTTCAATGGTTTTCCGAGGGGGGGGGGAACCGATGAAAAAAACAATATCGAGCGGTTTTCTGTGGTTCTTCGAGATGTTTTCCGGGGTGGGGTAACTGCTGAAAAAAAACAACCCATGAGGATTGTTCGAAATGTTTCTAAAGCTTTTCCGGGGGGGGAGGGGGGAGCCCCGAAAATCCTCCCATCTCGTAGGTTTTTCGCAAGTTGTTCTGCAGCTTTTCCGGGGGGGGAGCCCCCAGAAAACAGAACAACTCGGAAGTTTTTTGGCGGTTCCTCGGCCCCACATTTGAAAAACAAGATTATTTCACCCCAGAACAAAAATCAACTGCGGGTTGTTTCGGAGGTTTTTCAGCGGTTTTTCTGGGGTTTCTTTGGGGAGGTGAACCTCCCACCCCCCCCCCCAGCTTGGGTTTTATTCGATTGTGTTTCGGTGGTTCCCGGCCCCACAATTAAAAACAATACGATGTCAGAAAACCGCCCGGGAAACTCAAGAAGCAAAAAACAACTAGTGTTTGTTGTTTCTGCGGTTTCTCTTGTTTTTTTTTCCGGAGGGGGGAATCTTGAACAAACAAACGACTCTGGTTCTTTATGTGTTTGTGTCGGGCATTCTGGGGCCCCAGAATTAGAAACAAAGCGATGTCAAAAAACCTCCTGGGACACCTGTCAACTCGGGGGTTGTTCGGGTAATGTTCGATGATGTTTCTGTTGTTTTTCTGGGGGGGAACCCCGAAAACCTCCCCAACTCAGATTTTTTCGGTTGATTTCTGAAGGGTTCTGGGGCTCCACAATCAAAAACAATACTATTTCAGAAACCCAGCGGGAAACTCCTGAAGAAAAACACAAGCTCGTTATTTTCCTCGTGTTTGTCGGGTGTTTTCCCCGCGAGGAAAAACACCAGAAAAAAAACCTCCCAATTCAGGTTTTGTTTTTGTGCTCCGGGGTTCTGGGGCCCCACAATAAAAAAGCAAGATAATCTCAGACCCCCCCGGGGAATCCCTGGGTGACTGCCCAACTCGGTTTGTTTTCTGTGGTTTTGTTCGAAGGGTCGGGGGCCCCATAATTAAAAACAAGGCTATTTCTGGACCCCTCCCGGAAACCCCACCACGGAGAAGAAAAACAAATCCCAACTCTGGCTTTGTTATGTAGTTGTTCGGTGTTCTTTTCGACGATGTTGGTTTTTGTTGAAGAAATAATGGGTTGTTTTCGAAGGTTCTGGGCCACCACAATTTAAGACAAGACTATTTCAGAAAACCCTCAGGAGAACCTTTGAAACAATTCAAACACCCAGTCCTCTTGTTTTACATGTTTTTCGGTGGTTCTGGGGCCCCACGCAAGCAACAGTATTTCGGGACCCCCCCTAGTAAACTCCCCAAAAAAGCCAACTCGAAGTTTTCTCGGGGGTTGTTCGGAAGGTTTGGGCAACAAAAAAACAGCATTATGTCTGATAATCGCACGGAACGCCCCAAAAAAACGATCAACTCGGATGTGTGTTTTGTGTTTCTTCTATTTTCCGGGGTTCTGGCCCCCCGCAATTAACAGTCATATTGTTACCGCAAACCTGCTGGACAATATTTTAAAAAAGCTCTGCTGTGTTATCAACTGTTTTCTCGACGATAATGGGGCCCCAACATGAAAAACAGAATTATTTCTGCCCCCCCGAAAACTTGCTTGGGAAAGTCTAACTTGGGGTTGCTTCGTTGTTTTTGTCGTGGGCAATGGGGCTTCGCAATCTGAAAACCAGATTATGGTTGAATACGTTCGGGAAACAACGCAGAGGGAAGAAACAAAACGAAAAAAAAAACTAGGGTTTGGGGGCCGCGCACTCAAAGTGTTGCGTTGGAGACGGGAGCTGTTGAATACTGGGTGTTGTGTTGGAGACGGAAACCGTTAATGACTGGATGCTGTTGGACGCGGAAGCACGGCGGGCGGACGGTGGGGGGCGAGCGGCGGGAGGGCGGGCGGCGGGCGGGCGGATCGGGATTCTGATAGAACTCCTAAGGATTCTCTATTGAAGCGGGGTGCTGTTGAATACTGGGCGTTACGTTGGAGACGGAGGCTGTTGAGCACCCAATATTGTGTTCGAGACGGACGCTATTGAGTACTGTCGGGGATGGACAGACCTCCCTTTAGTAAAAAGTGGTTTAGTCAAAAAGACCTCGGGCCAAAACCTGGCGGGCGCAAGCCTGGAAAATAACGGCCGCGGCGCCCTCTTGAGAACCGAAAACGGACAATTCACTAATTGACGTGTCACTGTTGGGGGTTCTGTCCACCCCCGATACTGGGTGTTGTGCTGAACGCGGAAGCACGGCAGGCGGGCGGCGGGGGTTGGACGGGTGGCAGGCGGGCGGGCGGCGGGCGGATCGGGATGTGAACGAAAATCCTG